GACATTTCGGATGCTGATCTATGTTCAAGTCTACTTTACCGAACTGTGATATCTAATAACCTAGAGAAAATACTAAAAGACAGAAATGTCTTTGTTGTTCTGACGTTCCTAGGCTTGGTAATAGGTGAGAACTATGCTGACTCTTTTTTCAAAGAATATGCGGGTGGTACTTTGTCATTATCTGATACAGGAAATAGAATTGTGAATCGCAATGATTCAGAGTTGTGCAAAAACTATTTGCATCTCTTCGGTCAACGTGTCAAGAGCTTTTCAACAATCGCATCAGCATTCCGAAATGAATTTTCGCACTATTTCGTGCTATCCTCGAAAGAAAAGCCGAGTGTTAGTCCCTTCGGTATTCCCAAGCAATCGTTTATCAACGAACTGATGAGTTTGCTATATTTGTTATATGAGTACGTGGGACTGAGCGTTAATGACCGCGTGAACCGATATGATATATTATTCTCTGATACGAATACCGATGTGGAAGCATCAATGCAGTATATTACGTTGGTGAAGGTGTACACAAGCTTTTTGCATTCGTTTGTCTCATACACCCCACCTTCAGTTATACTTCAATGTGAGCTTGTGTTTCCAAAGATATTGGCAATGTACTTCGGCGTAAAGTTGCTGGACTGTTTTGCCCTAAGGCCTGACAGTAGCCTAGAAACAGTTTTTGTGGGAAATATTGAAAATTATGAGATAAATAACGGAAAAAAAGATATTAGAGCCATAGAAATTTCTGTCAATCAAAAGTTTACACAGATTTATCGATCAGCTGATCGAAAAAATAATATTCACATTCTTCTTCCTGTGTTGCTGTCACACTTTGATGCTGTTCATTTAACCTTAGATGACTACTATGTTAACTTTGAGGACCTGCTTCTGCTAAGAAACATGGCTAAGAAGTGTAACATCACTCGATTGGTGGCATCTATATTCGATTTAGACCGATTTAGCTTTCATGCATTCGTGAGAGAAACAGAAGTTGACAGGGGAACTGTGTTTGTTCTGGATTTAAGCGGCAGCATTCTTGCTGATATTGATTTGCAAACATTGAGCAGATTTTCTAATCTCAGGCGGCTGGTACTTCCGCGAAATATTGTCTCTAGCGGCGCTTTGAGTATCATATTTTCCGAGAATTCCCAAGTATGCCTAACCCTGTTCGAACTTGTCTACGATCAGAAAGTGACAGACAGTGATCTCAAGCTCTTGAAAAAGTGTCCATATCTGAAATATGATGGCATTGTCTCTGAGCGCTTGTTTAATACTGATGATGCCGATATTGACCAATACAAGGATCAAATAACGCATCTACTACTCCAAGATACGAGAAATAGCGACAACAATCCGAAAATATTACTTAGTGAGTTTTTTTCTGAGTTTCTCTACCTGAATAAAATAACTATACGATCGGATGATCCACAAATACTTAAGAGCTTGTCGCATGCACTCATCAAACGTGCTCTTACCGTTTGATTTGAAAACGTAAGACTCAAAGCATCCGCATTTCTTCAAGCAATCGGTCATGAAATGGTGATGAATGTGATTCTCGAGAAAGTGAGTTTCTCACATATCGAGAGCGAAAGTCCTCTGGATGAACAGAGCAACATAGTTTTAGGAAGTTTGACTATGATTAAATGTGAGTTGGAGGATCAAAAGATGCCTAAGCTTTTCAGTAAAATCGAAGTGGAACAGGTGTTGGAAATCAAAAAATGCAAGATCAACATGCAAATCCTTAAAGTGATGGTAGAGAAGAACCGAGTTGAAAAATTAACTTCTTTAATCTTGGACAAAAACAAGATGAGCAATTTTCATGAGGTCAATATTCAACAATTGGTGCAGCTGACAAAGATCAAAATCATAGTTAACGAAGCCTACCGTGAACCGAAGGCTATGATGAATCAGTTGTGTCGTTCTCATAGCAAAACAGATGAGACAAAACGTGTACAATCACTGGTATCAGATGGTTTTCTCATCACAATGCTTGGTTTGACACGATATGTTGATCTGGAGAGGTTGGAAATTACGATAACAAAAGACAGTTGCGATTTTGTTACGAACCACCTGTCCATAGCACCGAGACTGAACCACTTAACGCTGCATATACAGAACACTGATGTTGATGTAGTTACGATCTTGGAAGCTAATCAGGCAATCCAAAGTTTAACAATACACGGAAACGACATGTGCGCAGTTAATGCAAATGACAAGCAAAGCAGTGTTGAATCAACGTGTCGAGAGATCAAATTGGTGGGCATCAATATCCACAAACCAGATCTCTTCCAGTACATCGTTAAACTTAAGAACCTCGAGAAATTTGATATAAGCAAGTCAAATACCAAATTTAGGTGTCTTAAGCGTGTTAAAATGTTTCAGTCGTGTCGATCTCAGGCTTTATTGGTATTTGCAGCGTACTCTGATGATTTGGTCACGTCATTGATATCGGGTGATTCCGGATCAGTGAAACGAACCCGGTTCTCAATCTTGACCGATTAAAAATTAAGTTAGTTCGATCTTTCTCAAATATTTTTTTTACTCGTTTTAATACTGCAAGAGTTGATTGTCAACTTGTAATAGCCATTTTTAAGGATGTGGCCCTACTCTTTAATTCTATGCAATGACCTGTTGATCACTCCCCCGCAACAGGTGATGAACTACGCACTAAATGAAGCGATGTCCTATGTTTCTATTTATTGCAGGAATGCAGCCTATGAGGAGTCGCGCATCGGTTGGGTGACAATGCAGCAGCAAAGTTACGAACATGTGCCCTCTTCAAATAGAAGAACAGTTGAACAACGATTGGACAGTCATCCAAATGTTTTGGGTGCCACATGGATCACCGGAACGTTGTGTTAGCTACACACGTTTCTCAGAGAAGTGATTCATACCACATAACGTGGTAATCCGTGCAGTTACGCACCGATAGTAGTAACAAGCAATTTCAGACGTGTGAATTTAGTTAATCCATCCCTGCCATCTCGGAAGGTTATTAATCGGCAATTGATGGGCTGCGTTAATCAAAATGCGTATCAACGCTCATGTACACCTACCGCCTCGCCGGATACTGCGCTATCGGTAGGTATGCGGAAGAAAATGTTCAATATGTTGGGAGAATGGGAGAGAAACTGTATGTTATCTCTTCCAGATGTGCCGATGATGGACCGAATATTAAATGGGTTTCCTTGCCTGGATATTAGGTTGCAGTGAATTATTTTTATCTGTAAAGCCCGAGAAGAAGAGTTCTTTGGAATGCTCCGGAAGGGGTGCTTTAAGTCACGGCTTACGCGTTAAGTTACCAGTGCGGTTGCAGCATACCTTTCCGTTAAGATGCCTGCAGAGGTGTTATGCGGGCTAGCACACTTGCTTACCCCATGAACTAAAAGCCAATGATCACTGTTAGTTTCTGTAGACCAGAAAAATGTGTTATTTAGGTGTTGTTGTACGATGAGATAGATAAACGTGCTTTTAGTAAAAAAGCGAAAAATACGAGGTATAAATTACATCGCTATTTGTTCACAAAATTCAAATTTATTTTGTCACACATGCCATTTTGTTACAGCTATTACTTTTTTAAATTTCGCTTTTATAACAGCGATAATCTATCATTACAAGCTGTAATTCATCCGTTAAGTTTCATCTCATGTATATAAAAAATTGCATTCAAAAATACATGCTCTTATTCATACTCCCTGTCGTTTCGGAATATTTCAAATTACAAAGCATGGCTGTTCCTGATTTCTTCGTTGGCGAAAACCAGGCTAAAGAGCTCACACTCGTTGAGGAACAATTTGCCGATGTTTTTATGCTAGAATTTGCAGGACTGAGTAGAGATGACTTCATCACCGTTCTAACAAAACATGGTGTAATTTGGGAGCTTGATGAAGCCATGGGTCGTTTGTATTACACAGATTTTAAACATGGAGGATTAAACCAAAGGTTTAAAGTGGTAAAAAGACCATTCGGATTACATAAGATTATGAATGGGCTAAACAGTTGCATCACGTTGGATTTTAAATCAGAAGGTTTTCATAAAATAACGTGCGATGACCACGATCTAAAACAATACTTTCGACTGGTTCAAATGCCAAACAGAGGATTGTAAATAAAATATTTCTATTCTACGTATCTGGGACCATCTCCAGCAGAATGAGTGCGGGTGCTCGTCTAATATACGACAAATGCTGCAGTGAGCCCGTGTTTAGCACAAGAATATCGAAGAGGCACGATGAAGCTACTTCAGTGAACTAGCCATCGGTAAAAGGGGTGATTCCAAGGATGCTTCGGCATGGCACACCATCTGGACATACCAGTGATAGGCCAAATTTTGAACACGTTTTCTCGGCTAGTTTCAAGTTTTCTGGAGTTATTTCATCTGTAAAATCTCAAGAAGAAGGGTTTCTCAAAGTGTTCCTGGTCGGAGGATGTGGTGCAAGTCACGGCTTGAACGTTAAGGTCACCGCTGCGGTTGCAGCATGCTTTTCTATTGTTGTGAGGATGCCCGTAAAGGTATTGCTCAAGTGTTTACTGAGTTTTAGTGCTGATTGGTGTGCTGAGGTCTTTCATAATACTAATATATTTATGGCTGTTTCTAACAAACTAAGAAGGTATGTTTGATAAAATTAGATGGTGTTGTTTGTAAAGTACCAGATAATGCTATTAAATGCACTTGCATCGCTAACCCTGTCTGTTGTTTACATCTGCAAGTTTTCGAGTTTTGAATGGTGATACTTCCACTAACCACACAGCATGTCGTAATATTCGTAACGAACGAATTAAATGCTTAAAAGAACTGCAGATCGAACACTTTTACCTGCACTTACTCACTACATAAAAATATAGCTCTCGGCAAGCAAACACATTCGCAATCACGCTCCAGGCTACCATCAAGAACAAAATTAATAGAAAATGATATTTACGTTAATAAAACAAAATGTGATGTTCCATTTACAGCTTATGATGAATAATCCAATTTTTAGATTAATAATGAAATGCACACATGTGGTTCTCTACCATTAGTTTAAGATTTTTTACCGATATTATTCGTGATTTGTTCACCAGTGATACCTTCCAATTGTTGTGCATGCTTTTGCTGTGCATATTGCACATCCAAATGATGCACACCAATAATTTAGCAACCAGCGTACGTATTGGTACTAAGTTTCAAGAATGGCAAATGGAGCAATCTGTGCATATTGTGCGAAACAGCAGGTGATAATGATCAACTATTCCTCCCAGACAAATATGTTGTTAGAAACGCACAAATCAGCTAAAAATAGCAAATATTTTATCGAAATGAAAATTTGAACGATACACCGTAGAAATGCTGTGGTATATAACCGTAATGATCGATAACATGTACCGCTGCATTCTTTGCATACAACTCATTGCTTTATCCTGCCATCAAAGAAATCTTTCAGCAATTGTCTGAAGAATCGTTCTTTTGACCATTTTCTTTGCCTTTCTATCTCTGCTAGCAGGTCATCCAACGTGCATCTGTTGCTTAGTGGCTTGATCTTGAAATGTTCACACATTTGTTTACGGCTTATTTTTTGCAATAGCAGCATGAAAAGCCCTTCGTAATTTATTTTGCTTTGATCAACATTGATTATATTATAAATAAGCAGTTCTTCTCTGGAATGCCTTTTAAACACCAATCCTGGCACATCAAGAAAGAGTGTGCCGGTGAACTGGTATGACTGCACAAATTTGGTTTTTCCTGGCGTGTTGCTTATCTTTATCTTAACATGGTTAGATATTGTCTTGATTAAGGTGCTCTTTCCCACATTCGGATAACCTATCATGGCGTACCTCTTATTATCCTGTGATCTGAGAAATTCCAAGAACTCATTGTTGACATGTTTATCAACGTTAGAAAACTTAAATGTCTTAAAAATACGGTCTCCGTATGTTCTCGTCCTTTTGCTGCTATCTTCACCACTCGTAACGCTTTCATTCAGCAAGTCATACTTGTTAATGATCAGAATCACTGGCTTTCCCATCTCAAGTAACTCTTCTTCAAAAAAGAAGTCTACGTTCCTGCTATCAACAACAACACAGACAAAATCACACGCATCAACAGCAATCCAAAACTGCATCCACACATTCCTGTTCATTTCAGCAACCGTATTGCTCTGCCACGCAAGGAATTGTATGTATGATATGTACGGGTCTGGAAACGAGCTGTGCTTGCATGGATTGGGAACATTCTTCGCTGCAAAGTTGTTCACTGCCGAAATGTGGAACTGATGGTTGATGGAGGAGCAGAAGCTTTCTTTTTTTGATTTGAGAGACACAGGCTCACCGAATCGCCTTCTTATGATTTCTTTGGTAAGAACTGATCTCATTGCAATATTGGGGTAGGCGGACAAAAATTGATAAAAGTTAAAGCTAAGAGAATGACGGAATGATCGTAGAGTTCACGCGTT